GGTCTGCAAACGCGTGGTGCGTCCCGCCCGCGATGTGGCCTGCGGACAAACACCAGACTTCCCTTCGATTTGGGGAGATAAGGGGAGAGATGGCCAGACATCACCACTCCGGTCTCCGCAGCCTCTCTCGCAGAGGCCAAATTCGGGTGAAGGGAGAGAGACGGCCAAAGGGAGGAGGCGATGTGGCCTGCGAAGCGGGCGCCACCCGGCCGGCAGACGGCGTGCATCGCCGCCACGGTCCCACCCGTCGACGAGAGAGCGCGTAGCTTGCCAGCCTCCGACCACGGGAAGCCGATCCGCCGGTTCTCCTTGTGGGAGAGCTCGTTGGCCAGGTAGCGCCGCACGTACTCGCCGTCGTGGACCGTCGTGAGGTCCTCGACCGACGCGAGCGGCGATTCGTGGAAGGTGGCCTTGCCGGCGGCCTCGAGCTCCCGCTGCAGCGCCTCGCGGATATACCTGTACTTCTCCATCGGAAACGAGGATGTTGACGGCAGCGAGACCTGGTAGTGGTCGTTGTACCAGAGCGGCAGCGGCGGCTGAACCAGCGTGCAGACGGCCCGAGACGCGAGCTGCAGGCGGAGCGGTGCGTTCCTCATCGATGTCGGCTAGTTCGCACAAAAAACGTGCCGCGGTGGCCCCGCAGCGGCCTCGCTGGGCCAGAAAGTCGGCCCCGAGTGCCCGCAGCAGCCTCGTTGAGCCAGAACGTCGGCTCGCGAGGTGGGTGCTAGTATGAGCCCGCTGAGGCGTAGTGCTCTTGCAGAGGCGGTTAGTGGTGCACTAACCCCGAGAAACCCTTCGGGTCACTCCTCATCGCAAACCCTGTCAGCAGTCCTCCTCCGGGAATGTACGTAAGAGCCACATACATTGAAAACCCCTTAGGTACGTCTTTTTCTCACACCACGTGCCTCTGGACCTCCGTTCACGTGCACGAGCCTTGAGCCACCCACCCCGTTCGGCCGGAGCGTCCTGGGCGGGCAAACGCCCGCCCCGGCGGCCGACTCTGGGATTGTAGGTCGAGTCTTGGTGGTACGGAGACGGTCACGAGACGGGACGGACGGAACCTCCGGACGGACTCTAGGACGACGCCACGGGATAGGAGAGAGAGAGTCTCTGGGGGGAGGCGGGGGCCCCCGGAGGCACCGTGCGCCGCGCAGCAGTGCGGAAACGGGGCTCCGGCTCCGCTAGTGTCAGCTAGCACCGACTTCCCGAATGAGGTTGAGTAGAGGGCAGATTTGGAGAGATCTCGAGGAGTACATACAGATAGACCCTCCAATCATCAGAAAACTCCAACCTGATCGGTCGTACTGACCGCCGACAGATCACTCCAGACAGCAGACAGGCCGACGTCTGCACACGGCCGGCCGGGCGAGAGGCTTGACACGATCCGACCCTGCGACCCTGACGCTGCTGCTTTAGCTATCAGACATGCACTGCTGACTGCTGCCACAATGTGCGATCGGTGCTGACCCACTTGGCGGCCTTCCCGGTCAGTGGTGAGGCGCAGTTCAGAGCTGTCGATGGCGCGATGCCGCACTGGTCCCACATCGGTGACACGAGACCACCACGTTTGCCGGTCCAAGAGAGAGGCACCGGCGCTGTCCTGAGAAGGTGCATGGTCCCTCTTGACTGCCCATGCGCGCGAGGCTGTGTAGGCATAGCCTCGAGAGTGCCAGCAGCCAATCCGAGGCAGTTTGTGACGCGCATTGCGTCAGAAGCGTGCACGCGATGGAAGGACACCTTCCTACTGGCCGTACGATCAGGTCGTCACTGAATGCTTGATACTAAGGCCGCGAGCTATGCAGGTGATCAATTGTGCATCATGGCACGGTCAGCAGCGCCGAAAGGATGTCGCAAGGCGTGATAGCATGGCCGCAAGTACGCCGAATTCCCATGAAAACAAGTAAAAAATCGCGCGAAAAAGAAAAATGCCAAAAAATCGGCGCCTGCGGCGGGCTGGGGGACCCCATCTCCCCCCCGCATGGGTACCCCCTAGGGCCCTCGCCTCCCCCCAGAGGAGAGAGTGTGAAGGGAGTCTGCTGTCTGGGCGGGGCTTCGGCCCAGCCCGAAAGGACGCACGACGCATGACCTCCGGCACGACGATGGCCACCTCGCAGCGCACCACCCCGCGCGCCGACGTCGACGACATCAACGTCGACGTCGAGCAGTCCGCCTCCGCCGGCAAGCCGGCCAAGAAGCGCACCAACCCGCTCGCGACGATCTCCAACCTCCGCCACATCCTCAGCGTCCACAAGGCGGCGGGAGCCGTGGGCGGGGCCGTGGGCGGGGCTGTCGACACCGCCGGCGCCGCCTCGCGCGAGACGGCGTTGCTCGCGGGCCGCACGCTGCTGATGCTGCTCAACAACCCGATCACCGGCCCGGCCACCATGCGCATGCTGCGCGAAGGCCCCGACACCGCCACCGCGCTCCTCGACCTGCTGCTGGTGCCCGTGCTGCCGACGGTGCGCATGCTCGTGGGTAAAGAGCTGATTGAGATGTCCCAGCCTGGTGCCGCCGTCCCCGTCAACAGCGTCATCACCTTCGCCTTTGCGCGCCGCCTCAATGTCGAGCCCGGCGACCTGCGCGCGGGCAAGGTCGTCCCAGAGCTGAGCCTGCGCCTCTCACCCCTCGCGGCGGGGCTCGGCGGGATGGTCAAGATGGTCGGACAGGGCGGCGCCGCCGTCGGCTCCACGGCCGCGTCCGCCGTGCCCGGCAAGAAGACGAAGAAGGCGAAGGCCGACGACGCGCAGGGTTCGGTGGCGGCGCTCAAGGAGCTGCGCGACGCGGGCATCATCTCGGGGCGAGAGTACGAGCGGAAGAAGGCAAAGGCGCTGGGGACGAACGCGGAGAAGGCGTACGAGGACGGCTTCGCCGCCGGGCGCGCGGCCGCTCGGGCGGAGCGCGGCCCCTTTGCCGCCTGCCTTCCCAAGGCGCAGACGGCGGCCGAGGCGGCAGAGGCCAAAGCGGCGGCGGAGGCCAAGGCGGCGGCGGAGGCCAAGGCCAGGGAGGAGTGGCCGGTGGAGTACCGCGACATCAAGGAGCAGATCATCAAGATGACGCCCACGCTCAAGTTCTCGCTCTCCCTCGGCCAGCTCGACGCCTATGTCGGCGCGACCGGCTGGCTCGGGTCGCTGCTCTCGGGCTCGACGCAGCCGTCCGAGGCGGCGCTCGCGCGGCTGCGGCTCGAGCGCGTGTCGGTCGAGGCGCGGGTGCGCATCTTCTGGCACCCGCGCGCGCAGAAGGCCAAGGTCGTGATGCTGAGCGAGCCGCCGCCCAAGGTGGTTGAGCTGTCGCACGAGCTGACGGTCCTGCGGTCGTGCGCGGTGCCGCCCGAGCTCAACCAGCGGCTGCTCGAGCTGGTGCTGCCAAAGCTGGCGGGCAAGTTCTTCGACATCGACCTGAAGCCGCCCCGCGGCGAGGACGCCGCGCCGGACAGCGGCGACGAGGCTGCGGGCAGGGCGGGCAAGAAGAAGACGAAGAAGAGCTCCTCCGAGAAGAGGAGCCCGCGGGAGTCCAAGGCGGACGACGAGGCCGCGGACGACGAGTGAGTCGGGGGCGCACCGCCGCGCACCGCTCCTCGCAGAGGCGTCTATTGCACCAGTGGCGCTGTCGCCGGCCGAGCCGCTCGCCGAATTTGTTGCGCAAACTGTGATTATGCTTATGGCGCTCTCTCTATACTATATTCGGTGACCCAGACCCTCAGGGTAGGCTCCGCCCCACTGTGATTCGAACTGAGCGACGGCAGGACCCTTTGAAATCATGAATGGCGGCGTCCGGTGAGGCCCCCACGGCCGGGGGTGGTAAGTGGGTGATAGGAGGGCCATAAACGACCATCACATCGGCCATAAGCCCCTCCCCCCCCCCAAACACAGTCCAAACCGGCCCCGGCGGCCGGCGGGACGCACGCCGGCGCAGCATCATCAAGCTGCTGTACGGCCCCGGCATCGCCTCCCCTGGCTTAGCTCTCAGTCAAGATATTGTGCGCATGGGTGACCTCTACAATATACTCACTGACACTGTACCTCCCAGAGCTCGTCCCGGTCCGCCACGGCCATCCTCGTCCTCCGCGGCGCCGGCTCCGGCCCCTCCGGCGCACTGTGATGAGCGTCGGCAGGACCCTTTGAAATCATGAATGGCGGCGTCTGGAGAGGCCCCACGGCCGGGGGCGGTAAGTGGGTGATAGGAGGGTGATA